CATGATAAATTACTTTCCGTGGATCGCTTTTTAAAACGTCTTCTCCAAATCATGTTTTTCTTGACCTTTGGCATCTGACAATGACTCGTGATTCAAAGTATATGAAAACCAATTTGTCTTGTGTCCTTTTTTTTTCCACCTCTGAGCATTTACTTTACTTTTTGACCCTCATCGTTCTATAGCACACAGTTTGTAAACCACAGGGGCAGCTGAATGCCTCACGTAATAGTTGGAAAATAAACCTGCATGCCCTCTACTTTACTCTTGTAAAGGCTGTGATGATGGTAGCAAGGGAGGTTAGTTCATATAATTAAATGCACATGTCTAGGTAATAGCATCCTTCAAATTCCTCCTTGCAAACCTGAAACTTCAGCACGTTCTGTAAGTGGTGTGCTGGGTTTTATAACTAAGTCATGATGCTGGGCACACTGGGGTCTGGGGAAAGTCTGCTGTAATCATGGTTCGGGCCTTTTACCAGTAGTTGTAGGTAGGGAGCTGTTCAGTTTGCACCTATGTGGTGTGTGTCAGCATGTTTCAGTCTTGGCTTGCCAAGCCCCCTTTCTGCTGCATCTTCTAGGTTCAAATGTGTGCCTGTGGATGGATCTGCAGGGCAACAGTTTGCAGCAACACTGTGTTCAGGTTTCTGTATGAAAGTTTGTCTGAGGTACAGGAACAAGAAAAAAACTTGTTTAAAATAATTTAATGTCATACCTCTAATATCTTACAGCAGTCATAATGAGGATATATGGAGTAATTTCTTTGTATATGTCTAAATTATGTTGGTTTGGGGGGGTGGGTGGGAGTGGAACTCTGTAACTGTTTTGTCTTGCTTGTCTGCAAAAGCCACAAAAGAATTTATTATTTTTGTTCAAGACTTCAATAGCTTCGCCACTCGGACCAACACCTGTGGAGAGCTGCGTTCTGCTCATGTGGGACAAGAGGTCACGCTCTACGGATGGATTCAGTATCAAAGGTGAATGTAAACCAAGGTCAGAATGGAGATACTTGTTTGCCAGATCTGATGTATGCTCTAGGCCTAGATTCAAACGCTGTTTCTTATTCTTCAGGTTATCTTTTCATATCCCACAGTAGTCGCTTCTGAGTGACTAAAACAGCTGAGAACCGTACCAGATCAGTATTTAAAATCTCAGAGTTTCATACAAATTTTAATTGATCCTCATTACAACACTGTAAAACAGTTAAATATTATTACCTTTGTTGTATAGGAGAGAAAACAAGTAGTAGTGTATTTAGACCAATTCCAATAGCTGCAAGCAAATAATTTCTTTTATATAGTGTCCTTCGATTTTAAGCAAATTATGTTTGTCTTTTCAATTACAGCATCTAACGATGCAATTTTAAAGTTTGCAAACTTTGCTTAAGAAACAAATACTAACAAAAGGTAGTAAGCAGAAGGTGAAATCTTAATTCCAACAGTTTGTTATAGGTGGTGTGATATCGTCACTCCTAATGGAGTCTTACATAGGGTGAAAAGCATGCCTGCGTACAGCATGGACAATGCTCCAAAATATTCTGATCCTGGGTATGTGCTTGATAGGTCTGGTGGCTTTGATGAAATCAGTTAGTATCAAAAGTTGACTCTTTGCATTTTACAGTACAGAGAGGCTGGTTTTTATCCAGCATTGTTCTGCAGTGATGGTCTATGTGGATTTTTTTTTTTTATTTAGGAGGTCCTGAGCATCTCATCTTTGAACAGTCATGGATTGAGTTGTAGGCAACAGAGTTAGGATTATTGCCATGCGATCGTTGTGCTCCTGCTTTTAAAGACAGCCAGAGCGTGTTCTATTGGACAGCTTCTTGATGGATTAAGTACAATGATAGCTGTCTCTGCTGCCACTGAAGAGATCAAGATTTAGAATTCTGGATCTAGGAGTGTGGATTATTCATGTGAAATTTTTTATGGGACTAATGTTCTCCTTTTTGTTGGACTTTTTTTTGTATCCATGTGAACTTCAGTTTTATTGCTCATCTAAATATGTTTGTCTGAACTATGTTTCCCAGCAGGAAATTGCATGTGTTCAGAATCCCTGCTGTACATGGATTAATGTTCAAATTAAAGTCCTGGCACTCCTGGTGGTTTGCACATTGTTTGTCTGTGGCTGGGCAAAATCTGAAACAAGTTGTTAAGATTAGATTCAGATGTGGGAAAGTATCTGTACATATACTACTTGGAAGTGCTTTGAGATTAGTCACAAGGTACAGAAAGTAGCTAGCTGCCACGTGCTTTGACTTAAAAAGCAGAAGACTACTGAATTCTTGAATAAAATGTTTTTCCTTTTTGTGTTTTTCATGGATCAGACAAGGCCTGTTTCTAGTTTTGAGGGATTTCCAGGGACTGACCCAGATCATCATTCCACAGGATGAGGTAAGTGCTACTAAAATATGAGTGTCTATTTTTTTTTCTTATTTTGATAGCTTGGGTCCAGCAGATATGGAGAGCAGAATGAAGAACTTTGGCAGTGAGTGCTCTGACTCACAAGTAGATATAAGTGTTATCAGAGCCCTGATTTGACACCGCAACAGAACCATTAATGATGTTTCCACTGGGTTGTGAGGAGTGATCCTGGATTCAGATGGGCCATTATGAAATGAGACCCTTGAGCACAGTGCGTTTGTCCTGTTTGAATTTCTCCAAGATGTTGTCACCTTGTTGCAGGCACACTCCCATGTGAAGAAGCTCCTGTCTAACGCCCCAGTGGAGTCTGTTGTGCGAGTGACTGGAATTGTGTCCTCTCGGCCTCCAGGGCAGGAGAATCCGGTGAGGATGTTGGGCTCTCTCAGGGTTTTCATTCCTTTTGGCAAAGAGCACTGGATAGTGGGATTATGGATGTTTTTGTCTGATAGCTTTGCCACGGATTCCCAGTGCGTGACAGCCTACGCTCAGATACTGTAAAGTGAAGTAACTGCTATGACACGTAACTTAGGAGAACCTCAAAGCACATTAGACACCCACGAATTAAATTGTACTCCAGGCCTTTGAAAGGATAATGGCTAGCTTTTTCAGGCTTTCAAAGTGTGGTTGAGAATTTCTTTTTCTTGAAAACAAATATTGTCATCACAATTTGCACATCATGTGATGACCTGTTTCTCACTCAGAATAGATTTCACTGTTCTTATTGTGTAGGAAAGAGGTTGAGTAATTTTTTAATGTTGTGCATTCCTCAGCTATCATTGTAATCAGCTGTAGATTAATCTGTCAGGAATGTATATATCCCATCACTGGCAGACCTGAAAAGAGACCCTGGATTTATGACCATAATTTTTTTTTTGCTCTGACCACTTACAAATGTCCATAAAGAATGCAAACTTCAAACCTTGCTTTTATTTCTTTTAATCATTTATTGTTTTGCTGGAAGGTTGTATATACTTTCCCCTAGTAAATAGAAAGAGTTCTGTAGGATTGAATGAACTTTGATGTGGCACAGTGCTAAGTGGGGGAAACAAACTGTACTCCCTTGGGATGTAAGAAGACGACGACGACTAGTTCTGAGAAATGGTGTTCAGAACTGGAAGTTCTGAGAGGTTCCTCACAAGTTGCCTTTTTTGCCTTGTGTTAAGGACTGATGGTGATGCTGCTAATGCACACTAAAATGTATATTGCTTAGTTTCATTGAAGCTAATGGAACTAGTATTTTCTCCAAATGCACATGCCCTGGAAGGGTCTGTACCCACCTATTCCTCTGTGCTCAGTATCTCATTCAAGGAGAAGGCAAAGGAAAATAATTCTATTTCTTGTAGAAATCAGTATGCTACTGGGAAAGAACATGCCATCGTTGGTGAGGTGACTTGTGTTTTTCTGAACAGAAGGGAGATCTAGGAGGAGTCTATCCTTGAGAGAAGTTCTCCGAGTTATACTGCCTTAGGAGGCAGGGAGGATACTCACGTGGGTTTCTTCTTTTCCCCCAACCATCTGTGAAATACCTTTGACCAATTGTTTTCCCTAAGTTTTGAATCTTTTTTTTTTTCTTGCCTTTATGCTCCAGAAAATGCCAACAGGGGATATTGAGGTGAAGGCGGAGACTGCAGAGATCCTAAACACCTGCAAGAAGCTACCTTTTGAAATCAAGGATTTCGTCAAGGTGTCTGTTTTTTCCTTTTTTTACCAAAGTGGTAGCTTTTCAATAAATTGGAATTTGCCCAGAGTGATGACAAAACACCTGAGAGCTTCGTCCGGATCTCCTAGCTCTGCTTTGTGGGAAGGATGGTATTTAAAACAGGGCAGCTGCTTGTTAGCTGTGAGGATGTGTTTCTAATTAGAGTTAAGCAGAAAACAAGGCTTGAATGATTCCAGTGCATGGGGCTTTCAAACATCACTGTAAGAACAGATGGTAAAGAGAAGAGTGAAAGAAACCAGGCTATGCTAGCTTTTTTTGGAGGGTGTGAAAGAGAATCTGCCCAGGCACTGCTGTGATTTAAGGCTGGGGTGCTTAGTCTTACCTGGACAAGTAGCTGGTCAGCCAGAGGATTTTCTTCCTCTGTTAAGTACACAGTCTTACAAGAGGTGAGGTTTAGTGCGGGCTCCGTGATGTAGAGGAGGCATCTCTGTTAACTGCAAATATTCTCTGTGCTGTTGAAACTAACTGATACATAGGTGTTGGAAGTGAGAACTGGGTCCTGTTCCTTCTGTGTGGCAGGTCCTGGATAGTTCCCATCATGCGCACTATAATTTTCCTGTCTGTAATAAGGATGTATCACCATTTAGTTGTTCCTTTAGATCTATGTGTGATACCACTCCTTTGCTTAAAAATTGCGCGGATTGCTACAGTTTGTTGCAGTGGACTGAGAATAAGGAGGGCTGAAATCCTGAGCTTTATCAAGACAGCTCTTGTCACAGTAAATGTCTGGTTTGTTTTTTTTTTTTAAAAGTAATTGTCATGCATGGAAACACTCTCAGTGGCTGATGCTTGTCTGTGTAGGTTGTGGGTAATGCGTGGGTTGTGGCAATAGAGGAGCATCATTTTCTAGTCTCTCCCTTTTGTCCTGTGGCTTTAGGAGCAGCTTCATTGGACATGCAATTTGGATTTTGTCTTTGTCTCTTAATCCTAATTATCTCTTATCTCCAGAAATCAGAGGCCTTACGGATGCAGTATCGCTACTTGGACTTGCGTAGCTGCCAGTTGCAGTATAACCTGCGGCTGAGATCGCAGATAGTGATGAGGATGCGGGAATATCTCTGTAACCTCCACGGTAAGAAAATTGCTTGAAGAATAGTGTGCAGCAAACAACTCTTTGGCCCTTCCTTCTGTTTCCTATTACTGGGAGAGATTGCCAGTCAACTGGTCCCACTTAGTAACGAGATGTCTGCTTGCAGTGGGGTCTTTAGAGGGATGTTGGCAGGCCTGAAGAACAAAGTATGTTGAAATCTCTTCACATGCTACAAACCAGTTGTTTCAAATGAGCTATATCCAGTGAGAAGAGGCCTTTTGCAGGTAGTTTCCCTTTTTTGGTCACCCAACTTGAGGCATGTCAAAGGGATGGATTTGTTATAAGGCTTATGCTTATCTTCAAATCAGGAAGTCCTTTTTGGAAAAGCAAAGTCTAGTTCAAAATGGGTAGAGAACTTAGCAGTTTTTCAGCCTATATAGAGTCCTCTGTCATCAACAGTTCTGGCAGAACATCAGGGTAGCTCAGAGCCTTTGAATCTGCCATTACACAAGTTATTCTTAGAATCAGCAAAATCTGTAGATTTTGGAGAGGCTACACAATGTGCTGGATTACCTGTTTTGCTGACTAACCCTACTCTAGCCTACTCTTTGTCTTACTAGTTCTCCCTACTCTCAGCATATGCTGTGTCTGAAGCATGTGTTTGTTCCTCAGGGTTTGTGGACGTAGAAACTCCAACGCTCTTCAAGAGAACCCCAGGGGTATGTATTCTGCTGGTAATGCATTTTAGCCTCTTGTGATTGTCGCTTCCCACTCTGCCTTCATTGCTGTTGCCTTGTTAAGTAGCAGCTCGTCGTGCAAATTTCTGATATGATACATGGATCCTTGTAAAAGTAGAGGGAGTGACAGGGGGAGAGGTGGCATATTGTGTCTTAATTTTAAACCTTCAAATGAGTAAAGCTGCTGTCTTGTGGAGTGTGTGTTGAATGTAAGTCCTGTCCTGGAACTGCCAGATTGTAACACCAAAAAACTTGCTCTATGCACTGTTTCCCCAGCATTTCTTCTGACTAGCAGATTACTGCAGTGGCATTACTCAAGGCATTGTAATTTCTGAGTTTACATTCCTTTCTTTCAGTTAAAAAATGATCACAAAGAGAGCTGTAGCCCAGGAATTGTTGATGCAGCCAACACATGGAGTTCTTGCATTTAAACCCGTCTTGGGATGGTGTATTGTTGTGCATTAGTGTCTCAGAGCAAATGGCTGTTTGAACGTTACAAGTGGGATTCCATAATGGGGAACATGGATCCTTCTCTCCTGCGCTTCTAGGCTATGTCATTAGCTTAGAATTTGTAGATTTAATTCTGCAAAATAGCTGTGTCTGAGGCTGTGCAATTACCTGCTGTGGAATCCAGTCTCCCAATGTTGTGATTTAGCCCACCCAGCAACTAAATGCCACACAATTGCTTGCTCACCCTCCTCCACTCCCAGGGAATGGGGAAGAGAATTAAAGGGGAAAAGGGAAGGAGACTCCTGGGTTGATAAAAGAACAATTTAATAATAATATAAAATTAAAAGTAGTAATGATGATAATAATTTATGTGTATATATAGATATAATGACAATAATATAGACAAACAAGTGATGCACAGTGTAATTGCTCACCACCTGGTGACCAACCCCCGTCCCATCCTGGCAAATGATTCTGAAACAGATCTAAGTCCCAACATTGCAATCCCGGATGAGCAAGAGGCCTGAAAAGAGAACAAGAGAAAGAGCGCTCCAAGAGTTTGAGAGAGCCCTCAGAAGAGAGTTCTTGGAAGAGCAAAAGCACCTCTTCTTGGTCAGCCCTCATCTATACACTGGGCATGACGTTGCATGATATGGAATACTTCATTGGCCAATTTGGCTTTCAGCCTTAAGTCTAAGTTCGAATCCTAAGGGGAGTTGTGGACCCTCTGTCCTGGCCGTGCTCTCCCCCAGCCTGTTGTGCTCCTGCACACTGGCAAAACATGCACCGACTATAAACATCAGTGCTCTATCAACATTCTTCTCATAACAAATCCCAAACTAAAACCGAAACACAGAGCTCTAGCTGCTAAAAAGAGAAGCTCTATCCCAGTCAAAACCAGGACACCCAGTAGTGATCCACCCAGGTTCTACATTGGATGTGGTGTAACTTAAGTCCTGAATATGTTTAACCTAATTGCTGCAAAAAGGTCCAAGATGCTGACACTAGACTGGATTCAGCAGTTGAACAGAGTTCAGTGGTAGAAATATCCCTGTAGTGGGAGGAAAAGATGGTAAAGGAAGGTGTTTTGCAGTCTATTGAAAACTGTAACTTCCTTGAAAAGGGTAGCCTCTGTTTGCTGCAATTCTTAGAGAATTCTGGAAAGATTGTGCATTTCATTATCATTTTATTTGTTATATCATTCTTCAATTGCTGTGCTTACCTCTCTTGCTGGAAAGTTCAATGTCTCAGTCTCCTCTTCCTTCATCTGGTTGAATGGAAGAAACTCTGTAGAAGTAGTGTGGAAAAATTGACTTATAGGTTAGGAAACACAAGCACTGATGTTTTTTAATTTTAACTTGTGTGGTTGCTTTTCTTTGTAGTTTGGGATGCATGCTCAGAAATTCTCAATTCTTTTTAGTTTCTCTGTGGAAGATACTTTTGTACCTTCCTGCTTACAGAGGGCAGCAGTCTTTTCAGAATTTGGTGTCATTTTCAGCTGTGCACCTTATTTGCTGAACTGTGTAAGCTTTTTTCTTTTTGATGCCAGGGAGCTAAAGAATTCCTTGTGCCCTCAAGGGAGGCAGGCAAGTTCTACTCTCTGCCACAGAGTCCTCAACAGTTCAAGCAACTCCTCATGGTTGGAGGCCTGGACAGGTAAGAGGTTTTTGGACTCCTGTTCTCTGCGTGTCCTCTCCAGTGTTTGCTTCCTTTGATCAGAAGTTTGAGAGACTTCCCCAAGAACTTATTGCGAAGGGGGTTGTGTTTGGAAGAGGAATCCTTAAATATTTAGGACTTTTCAGCTAGGCCAGGCCTTTTGCCTTGCAGCAATAATGCCTCCCAGTAAGAGGAAATGTGTCCTGTTTGAAGGTTGAAATCCTCACTGTTGTTTTAAATGGAAACCTGATCTGAAGCACAGTCTGCCTGAAAGGCAGAAAATCTAGTGTGTGACAAAAGCCTCTCCAAGAGTAACCTGCAGAACTGAGATGACAGGACAGACAAGGAAAGCATGTTCTCAGGGTGCATGAGCTTCTGCAAGTAGCAGTGCAAAGGCAAAACCTGTGACTAATGTGGAATCCCCGCTCTTGTCTTCTATTTTAAGATAAGATACAGAGGTGCCATTTGTAGATCAAACTGGAATCCAGCTTTAACTGGGCCTGTTCCTCCAAGTAACATTGAAGGAGAGGGAGAACAGTTGTTCATGCAGTGAATTGCAGGTCTGCTCTTGACTATGAATGAGTTTTGCTTGGCCCTTGGTAGAGTCCAAGCTTGGAGTGGAATGTGGGAAAAGGGCTTGCATGTGGCCCTGTTGGGACACAGCTCATCTGGTAGCCTCCATGTGCCTCTGGAGGTATGGTTGGAGCTGGATACAGCTGCTGATACAGTTGCTTACACTCAAAATTTCATGCTTTTGAGGGGATGGGAACTACCAGGGTTATGATCATCTGCTGCAAAGGGAACAGACCTCTCTTTTTTTCTTTTTAACAGTCAATTCTATAGCCACAATTTAGGGTACTTTAAATTGTTATCCAAGTAAAATTCCTATTGCAGGTACTTTCAGGTTGCCCGCTGCTACCGAGATGAAGGTTCACGACCTGACAGACAGCCTGAATTCACTCAGGTAACCAGCTCACTCTGCCTTTTACCCTCCTCCTCACCCCAAACAGCTTGTAGCTGTTTTCCCTTCTGAAAGCTTAGTTTCTGCTAGCTCTTGTGCTGCTTGGGGGGTACAATGTTGTTTGCTGTGTGTTTGACACACAGCCCTTTGGAATTAGTATGGGACATGCGCAGAGTGGTTACTGACCTTGGATGACTGCACGGTCTCAGGTGCAGTAGGTGTGGGAATTGTGTAGCAGCAGTGATTGTAATTGATGATGTAATCTCTTCCTGTCCTGCTGGATCGGGTGTCCCGTTCCTCAGCCTTGAGATCCCAGGCAGAGTTAGCCTGGTTCATTCAAGGTTTCTCCTTCTGTCCTTGTCATCATTACCTCATTCAGCTCTCTGAGGAGATCGTGTCCTGAGTCATCAGGCTGTAGGGAGATCGTAAGCACAGCCTCAGTCTAATGCAGTCATGCTATGATTTAATGCAGTATATGGTTTCTTTTTATGCTGGCTTTGTAGTCAAGAGCTTCTGCAAGTAGCAGTGCAAAGGCAAAACCTGTAACTAATGTGGAATCCCCCCCCTCGTTTTGTATTTTAAGATAGATATAGAGATGTCATTTGTAGATCAAGCTGGGATCCAGAGATTGATAGAGGGCCTCCTGCAATATTCCTGGCCTGAGGAAAGAGGCTGCATTACAACTCCTTTCCCTTCCATGACTTACGAGGAAGCACTGGCTGACTATGGGACTGATAAACCAGACACTCGTTTTGGGATGAAGGTGAGGGTTTGCCCATTGGAAACTTGCAGCTTCTCCTTTCTGTTAGTGTTTTGGATCATGGATTGGCTGGGGTTCTTAATGCTGTCATTTACCCAATGTGTCTGTCCTGTTGTTGGTGCTTTATACAGGTAATCGTTTTTTGGGAAAGAGAGGGTTTGATCATTTAGTTGTGGGAAAACGTATGTTTTAAGAAAGTTTTGTTTTAAAGACAACATAATGTTAGAACGCAGTGCATCTTGACTGTCTTAGGAGCAGAAGCCCATAAGGCATCCACAGACACCGTAAGTGCTTTTGTTTATGCACTCCAAAGCGTACTCCTGGTGAGCGTGCTTCGTGAGACAGGCTTCTCCAGCCTTTTGTTGGCCCGGAGATATTGTCAAGATGACTGACTGGGGTTGTGTGTATACGCTGTTTGTGTAGCAAATAAGAATACGAAAGTGAAATAAGCACATCGACAAATTTATTAGGAGGAACAGTGCTAAAAAGCAAGAAAGTGTCTTATATTTTCCCCAGGAATTAATTTTTGGGGTTTCTTTTTCAGTATGCAGCTCTCTCCACCCTACTGTGGTAGGGTGTTACTGTCTCAACCTTGGGTTTTCCTGGCTCAAACTCCATTTTGGGGTTTCCTGGCTGTCCTGCATTTCTGTTTCTGCAGTGTTCAGTTTCTTAATGGTTATTCCAGCTTGGCCCCGTTCATTTCTTTGTGAACCATTTGATTTCACTGAACAAAGAAATGATGTTCCAGGGAATGGTGTTGAAGGTATTAAGACATAGGTGCAGGATTTTTTTGCTTCATGTTCCTACCACGTCTGCTTTTTCCTATGCTATCTCTCCTTTCTCAGATAGTGGATATCAGTGACTTTTTAAGAAGATCGGACATTCAGTTTGTGCAGAATGCACTCAGTTATCCACAGGGCACTGTCAAAGCCATTTGTGTCCCTCAGGGAGTGGTAAGCGATGTTTTTACATACTGCTTATGGTTTATGTGAAATAAATAAAATACCAATTTGAATTCCTTTGTTGATATGGAGATGTTCCTTGCTGTTACTAGAGGAGTAGTGCCCTTCCAGGAACTTGGGATTGGTTGTGATGGATGTCAAGCTGGGTGATGTTAGAGGGGATGTAGTGTTAGAGGGGACTGGAGATGATCAGGTGATGGAAAGAGTATGTTGTCCCCAGGAAGGGTCAGAAGAAAACAGCTGCAAGGTCCCTTGAGATTAGGGAAGCCTCTTGGGGCATCAGCTTGCTTTTGTCAAGGATGGCTTCTGATGTTCCTCTCAATAATAAATTGTGCCCTGTGGCAAGAGATTAAAATGGAGCCAGGTATGACACAACTGTATTCTGGGTGAGTGAGAGAAAAGTTGGGTGGTTACAAGCCCTTCTCTTGTTTGCTTTTGCTGCATTTGTGGGCACAACCCATGTTTTGTAATGAGAATGTCACAAACTAAATCCAAGGCTGACAACAGATGTAGAAAACTGACACAGCCATGCATTTTGGCAGGGAAGCTGATTTAATTCTGGCTGCGGTCATCTTTGCAGCTTGGGCAGTGTGGAAAAAAAAAATCCGCTAAACGCTGACTTTTATTTGGGAAGTAGGGCTTTCTGACCATGGGATTCCTTTAATTTTGGCACAAAACGCAAGTTACCAGCTTCCCACGAGAGGGCACTAAGATGTGTGTTTGAGCAAAAAAAGTGGAATCTAGAGCCTCTCTAAACATTAGTGGCTGAAAAAAAATGAAGATCTTGCCGCAGGTTCTCATTTACTGCGATTCTTTGCATGTGAGAGTCTGCCCAGTTGGTTTCGCTCTGTTTTTCCTCCAAATCTAGCTATGCCTTCCTCATCAACAGTGTGATGTTCCAGCCTTGTTCCTGCATGCTGGAGGCAGTTGTCATAATCTAAGTCTGCTGACTAGCTACATCTGATCTGTGAGCAGGGAGAAAAAGCTGCAGCCAGATGTACAATCTAGAGAGGCCTTTTCCTGAAAGGAGCATGGAGAAGGCGTGCAGCTGCAGCCCAGTGCTGCGAGTTCTGTCCCGTTCCACAGCCCTCATAAGAACTTGTGCTGGAAACAGAAGAACTTCAAGTTTGGGAACAGCTCAGTCAGTAGATCTGAATCCTAGTTGGGCTTTCTGTATATTTTGCTGATGTTTAATGTCTTCTCTTGTTCTTTCCCCAGAGATATCTTAAAAATAAAGATTTGGAGTCATTAAAGGAGTCTGCAAAGTCCCAGTTTAACCAGGTGAGACAGAAACACTGCTGAGGCATTGGAAATAGTGGATGACAAAGTGTGCATAGAGGCACTTGCAGGCAGAGGAAGGTAGAAGAGCAGTTTTTAACAGCTGAGTCAGTGCCTGAGCATGTGATGCTTCTAGACAAGAGAGGGCAGCACCGAACTGAACATACTCTTATCTTTCTTTAGGAAATCATGGAAATTATCTGCAGGCGTGATGGAAGCTTGAAGTCTGTGCTTACAAAGTTTCTTGGTGAGAAGCAGCAGTTAGAGCTTATCCAAGTGCTGAACATGCAGGTGGATGATGTGGTACTGCTGGCAGCTGGTGAACACAAAAAAGTGGTAGGAAGCATTTTTTGGGTGGCTGTGAGTTGAATGTTGCTAACGGTGGCTTCGATGTTATCTGACCTCAGTCTAATTCTTCTCATTACTAAAATAGGTCATCATCTAATTCTGTGTTTCTCTGGAGCTGAAGCTATAGCAACAGCAAATAATGCATGAAATGTACTTACTGCTTTTATTACCCCCAGTCAAATTCTGGGAAGAATTCATAACGGAAACGAAGGCTGGAATATAAAACAGGAACTAATCAGTGTGCCTCCTTTTCTCTCAATTTTTAAAGCATCAAACAGAAATTAGAAAACGAGATCAACTAGTTCATTTTGTTTCTCGCAAGCAGATGAGTGAAGCACAGCTGCTTATTAGCAGCAGTGGTGGGAGATTCTGTCCCTACCCTTCTCTGTGTTCTTGCCAGCAGATGTTGCCTTCCAGGCTTTGGTTTATGACAAGGTGCCATGCTTTGCTTGAGAGCCAGAATTTTGTCATTCTATCTGTGCCTTTATTTCTCTGTCTGCCAAGTGCAGATCTTATCTGTGCTCCTCCAGTTAATCCGCGTTTGTGCAGAGCTTGAAGTTAGTCTAGGATGGTTCTGTGAGGATGGAACATTTAAAAGAAAACGAGCTTTCCAGCTCTTTACTTGCCTTGCTTTGTCAAACCCTGGAGCTGCTGCTGCCTCAGCAGAAAGGTGATGTCTTTTAGGAGACAAGGTGGAAGTGTTTAAAGCAACAATGCGTTACTACTGATGCTGTCTCTGATCCTGCCTTTATGAAACACTTTCTTTGGTTGGTGTTGGAGTGACTTCCCTATTAGTAAAATTGCCCCATCTCATTTGCTCCCTTCTCTTTTGCAGTGCTCTGCATTAGGAAGCCTACGGTTGGAGAGTGCTGACCTCCTTGAGGCAGCTGGGCTGGTACTCCGTGACCCTATGACTTTTCACTTTCTGTGGGTGGTGGATTTTCCACTTTTCCTCCCCAAGGAAGAAAATCCCACTCAGCTGGAATCTGCTCATCACCCTTTCACTGCTCCTCATCCTTCAGATACCAGCCTCCTCTATTCTGATCCCACAAAGGTAACTAACTTCATGCCTGCCATGCTGTCCCGTTTACAGCTGTGCGTCCTGGAAAGCTGGGCAAGAAGCATCTGTTTTTACAGTAGAAAGGGATGTTTCATGGAACTGACTGCATATTGTATGAATATGTTTAGAAGAGATGGCTTCCAGATTACTCTGAGTGGCAAATATCCATGTGTGCCCCTGACAGAAGGGGCTTGTAGGAAACAGTTGCTTAAGGGGATGAGTCTTATATTCTGACCCATCCCATGTTGCTTCAGGTTTTGATCAACTTTGTAATTACAAAGGATTTGTACTGTTTCCACCATGAGTCCATGCCTCTGATAAGACTGGTACCTGAACTGCAAACACCACTGAGAGCAGTGTTGTAGTACGTCATGTCTTCATCCCAGTGTCTATGTGGTGGTTGGTATTAAATGCAGCTGTGCCTCAGCCTCGCTAAGGTACTCCTTCCTTTCTTTCTGCAGGTCCGTAGCCAGCACTATGATCTCGTGCTGAATGGCAGTGAAGTTGGAGGTGGCTCCATCAGAATTCACAGTGCAGAACAACAGCGTTTTGTGCTGGAGAAAGTGCTGAAGGTAACACCTACAGATGTCTCCAATGTCTTCTTGGAGATTTAAATGATTGCTTAATTTAAATAACTGCTTCAGATTCTGAAAGAAACACTTGTGTGCTTCTTAGGGAAAAATAACTCTCAGCCCTGAGTGATGGATGACTTCATCATTCCTTCATCTTATTAGGAAAAGCATTGTTTACCAAGTGACACTTGTTATGTAACTTTGCAGGAGGACTCTGAGGTGCTTTCCCATCTGCTTGAGGCTTTGGAGTTTGGAGCTCCACCTCATGGAGGAATTGCTTTAGGTGAGTGCTCTGTAGCTCTCCAGGATACAGATGTCTTGTGATTTTTTTTTTTTTTTCTTGGCATATTAGATCATAGGAGCAGTGTCGTAGTGTGATTTAGTTCTTGTGCAAGGACCAAATCGCATATTGGTGGATCTAAGGATGGTCCTTATACACTGTTATACTAACAGTGTATTCATTAAGATTAGGTCATCTTTATTTTCATTCCTATGGAGCCAGAACAGGATCCATGTACTGTCCCTAGAGGCCTGGGACAGCATGGTACTTTGCTTCATGCCCTGTGTCACAGCCACAACCTCACCCTCTGCTTCAGTATCACTTCCTTTCTTCCTTACTTGTTTTGTTCACTAAATCAGATGACTTCAGATTATTTTTTTTCCTAGAACCTTGCAAGTTTGTTGCATTTTTTTTAAAAAAAATCCACCCCAAACAAATTACAACAACAACAAAAAACACACAAAAAAATGTAGCATTTTAACCTGTGATTTTCCAGTGTGATTTCCCTCCATCCAATAACTCACTATTATTCTTCTTGAATTCCTCCTAGAACTGGTTGATCAAGAGCTTGCTTTGAGCAGTGAAGCAGAGCCCTGACAGTGTTCCTGCCACTTAGCTGCCCTGGTTTTGTTATGCTGTCTTTGCAAAGGCGCTGTCTCTGTCTTGCAGTCCTTGGTGTGTTGCAGAACTTTCTATAATACTGAGAAGCTTTATTTTACTAGGTATTTCTTCGCTTTAGGCAAGTCTGTTTCTCTGCTACTAGTTGAGATTATTTTTTTCTCCTTATTTGCTTCAGTTTTATTCTTCAAACTCAGTAATATTGTCTACTCCATCTTCTTGATTTTTTTTTTTTCCTGAATCACAGCAAGTAATATAGGGCTATAACTCAAGTGGTTCACCAATTTGTTTTCCGTTTCTAGGACTCGACAGGCTGATCTCTCTCATTGTTGATGCTCCAAGTATCAGAGATGTCATTGCTTTTCCTAAATCCTTCAAGGGACGAGACTTGATGGCCAATGCTCCAGATTATGTCACTCCAGAAGAACTAGAGCCATATCACATCCAGGTTTCCTGGCCTCTTGCAGAAAAAGAGGCAAAGAAAAACTGACTTAAAGCCAGTGATGTAAGCTGATCTGTTTAACCAGATGTGGTTACAGCTTCTAAATACTAGAATTTAGTTCAGAATACATCAACTGTTATGGGAGGATGGGGAGGCAGTAGCAACCCCCCTGTACCATGGCAGTTTCAGGATTGAATGGGGAATAGATAGGAGGACTCCTTGACAGGAGTTCACCTTTGGGTCGGTAATGGGAAGAAGTAGAAAAGCAAAAGAAAAGAACATAATTTTAGCATAGGATATTAAGATTGGCTTTGGGGTGTTATACTGGAGTGATGATGAGATCTGTATTTTTGCTCCCCACTCTTTACATGTCCTTTGTGAAGTATTTCTCCTCCAATCTGGAGTAGATAGTGTCAGCTTCCCTGGCAGATGGTCTATATTGCTGCTGGTGATTGAATCCGTCAGCTGAGGACTGTTACAAAAGAGCAGTGCTGTGCTGGGCCAAGAGCTCTGCACACTTCACTGCAAAACCTCAGTGCAGCCAGCAGCTTTTCTCATGCTGGAGGATTCAGAGTCATCCAGAACTTGCCACGGGGAGTTGATGTTCAGCTATGTTTTCTCTTCAAAGACTGGGAGAGAAGTGTTCACAGCATTTGCAACAGTTGTCCCTGTAATACTTGTGAGACAGGAGATGATCTGTCTTTGGGGCCTGTGGTCCTGCCACTTTCAGAACACTAGTTCTGAAGTTTTTATCTCTGTAAATAAAGTGTAACTGACAACGTGGTTATGACTGAGCTTGGCTTTGGACTTTCTCTATAAGAAGAGCCACCAGTTTTTCTTCTTGACCCTGATCCCTCCAGGAGATGTCAAGAAATCTGACAGCACAGCAGGATTGCCAGTCTTCTGTGAATTCTGTCTCCTACTGCAAGCCTGCTGCTACAGTGATGGGTGGTGCAGCAGCAAGTTCCTTGCAAGCAACTGTCTGTTCATCTGTCCCACACCAGGACAGCCACAGTGCAGGAGCAACTCCATACGGAGTACAGAGTGGGCTCTAGCACTGTCCTACCAGGCCAAGCTACTTGGCTCTGCTCTGTAGTGTATAGCAAGCCCTCTGCAGAGGCACTCCAGTAGGTGTTCTTAACTCTGTGTTTAGGTTGGAGAAAGGCAGAGAATTGATAGGAGGAAAGTGAAGAAGCTGAGGAAAAGGAGGAAGACATTACCTGAGTAAGCTAGGAAGATGGTGCAAAGGAAGAAAAGGGAGAGCTAGAGCTACTGTGTCTCAGCTGGGAAGGACAGTGGGTGCCATCTGCTAGAGGCAGTGCATGAGGACAGAAGGAATACTGCAATTCTTGTCTGAGCTGATACTGAACACCAGCCTTCTGCAGGAGATGTGATCTTGCAGATTCTAACAGATTATGGACTGCTCCAGGGGTTATCACCTAATTCAATCTCGACATTGTGGGATAACATGACATGGTGATGCACACTGTTGGTGTTGATAGACAGTACAGGAGGTGGCTCTTCTCCTTAAGGTTGGTTTTTTAAGTACTTCATACGGGTTAAAAGTACCGTCCATAGACACGTAATGGTAGAACTGACTTGCTGCTGGTTTGCTATGTGTATAAAAGAAAACTTAAATCCTTTCCTATCATGTTATGATTGTTATCATCAGTCTCAGAGTGTGGTTAAATACTATTAAAGAAAAAACCCAAATAACCAACACAATCCTGGCTTTGTAATCACATTTATTCTAGCCAAACACTGAATTCCTTAATTTTTTCCTTGTATGAGCTATTCATTCTTATCTTGAAATTAATTCACCTTTGGTTTACTCTTTTTTCTTGAGTAGAAGCTGACAGTAATGGAATGAGGATCGGTTTTCAGAGAAGCTGAGCTGAAAAGTGGATCCCTAAGCAGATCTGTGTTTAAAAACAATTTTTTAATTTTGTTGGGTTTGGGGGGGGGGGTTGGGGGGATGAGGGAAGTCACCTGGTGAGAGTTATACTAGATATTTTTGTTCCCTTAACCTGTAGGTGGCAAAACGGAATACAGCCACTACAAGGCTATATAATATATTCAGACTGGATTTTTTAGAGGATGCTGGGTTTTGTTACTTAGTTTTCTTTACTGGTAGTGAGACTAACCTAAGATTGGCATGGAATTTGCTTGAGGGTAATCTATATTCCTAAAGCAGGGATGTCAGAGGCTTGTTTGAGGACATGGAATTACAGAAATAAGAGGAGTTCTTAGAAGTTCTTCAGTCCCCCCAGTCTATTGTTTATAGTAACTGTAAACATAATGTGCTGAACTTTTTTCAGTTGTGAAATAAGGGGCACTGTGTCGTCTGGTTAGTAACCGTTTGCAAAGGCAAATGTTTACATCTGAAGAGACTCAGTTCTTTAAATTAGGATTATTATCAAGTGTTCAATGGGTAACTGATGCTTTAAGAGGTTTAGGCAGAAATGTAACACTGCCTGGAACGTTCTTCTTCAGAGCACTTGTTAAAGCAGTGAGCAAGCTGTCTCCGAGGCAAACACATCCCTCTTGTGCAAGCTGTTTTGTGTGATGTTTGTTTACCTGCTGCTATATTAAGGACTTACTGCAGTTACAAGTGTGTGACACAGCTACGATTAGCTACAGTGAAAAAAATGCAACGAAACGTGTCATCTGAGCTGCTGCAGTCCTGCCACAACTAGGTCAGTGGAAAAAGATGGATCCCAAATTCATGCAAGCCATCTGTGCTTGGACTTGTGAATGAAGCTGGCTTACGAGTGTCTGAATTTGCCAGTGGTTGTGTGAGTGTTGCCACAGAAGACAGTAATTGTTTTTTGTTTGTGTTTTTCTTTTTTTTTAATAGAGCATTGTGTAAGATTTCACTGGGCTTGTGGAAGCCTGATCTACAGAAAGACAAATTTTAAACTACAGTCTAGTTGACATACTTAGCTGGGTATGTTGATAGAAGCAAGAATTGATAGACATTACAAAGAAAATACATGGAAATAAGGAGTGGTCACATTGCAGACCAGTATCTCATGTTTGCTGGAGAAAAGCTACTGGCCTATGATCCTGAAAATAGATGTTAAAACCACTACTTCAGCACAACGTCCATCAGAAACACCTGCTGATAATAAGCCACAGCATAACCACAGACTGCCAGCTTTCACAGAGCCCATGTTGCTTTCACCTTCCTTTCTTTTTTCCTGTACAAGACAAACCTGTGGAGAAATGTTGCTGTGTCAGGTGTGCTAGAAGAGACAGAGTCCTGAACTCCTCTATTAAGAGTTAATCTTTAAGTAATCTTTTGTTAGAGGTGTGGTGTATAAGAAAAGCTTGGTGAATCTCTATTGCTGTGGGCATACAGACGTACTCCTGGAGCTTGACTATGTTAGACCCAGCGCTGCTGCCTGCGAGCGGGAGGTGGTGGTTTGTACATCCGTGTTGCACATCTCCAGCCACCACCGCAGGAAGGCATGGCCCCACTGCTCTGGGTTTCACCGGCATCTCTCCCACTGGGAGGAACGGAGCAGGTATGGCATGGAATGGAGCAGGTATGGTGGTGGGTCATGCTGCACTGATGTCTGGCATCTGGTGAATACAGGCAGCCTCAGAAAAAGACTCTATAATGGCAAGCGTGGAGGGATAGGGAGATTTTATGCTCTCAAATGTAAGGGTTTCTATTTTTTCCCCCCACTTTCTTTATACCTTTAGTTGATTGCACAATGATTTGTTTTGGCTACACTTGCTTGTTACTGTCAGTGTGCATCAGGTGAGGATGCTTGGTACCCTCTCTGTCCCTTTGGCCCGTGTGTTAACAGCAGCAGAAAATGCACGGACAACTGACAGCCACCTAAGCTGTAGCAGATGGAAATCCCCTGTGTAAGCTTCCCATGGCTTCACCTCTAAATGTTTGGGCTCTTACTCTAGGCTTGTGCTCTAGTTTGTTGTTTTTTTCCAAAGCGTTGTTTTATGTAATTAAAAAATGTTGATTACATGCAGTCGCCAGCTGTGCCAGCCACAATTTTACAGCAAACAGAGCTCCGTGACAGATATATTCAGATGGATTTGTCACATTTGCCTCTAATAATCCAACTGGCTCCAGCTCTCTTGTTATGTTTTGATAGCCTTTGTGTTTACTGTGATGCTAAAGTAGAGTTTAAGAAAAGCATTATGGACAGTTCTGCCCTTAATTTGGTCATATTATAAACAAACTTGTATTTCTGTTGCCGTGAGTTCTGCAGTTAAATTATATGTTATTCTAAAAAGTAATTCCTCTTGGTTGAGTTAAATCTCTCATCAGATCATTTAGTGAGGTATCTTCTCATGTAGGCTGTTAGAAGGAATGAATACTGAAATTCCTTCTCTATTTTCTGTTCTGCTCATCATTTCACAAACTTATATCCTCTGTTTTTCAATCACATGAATTTTAAGCTGTAGAGTTTTTAGGTTCTCATCAGCCTTTCTGTGGGAATCACTGCCCATCTCCTGTGCTACCAGCGGTGGCCTTCCATACACCCATGGACAGCTCAAGTGGCCAAAAGTTGATGTTGTTGTAGGCTGTTTGGAGTCTTTGTTTTTTTTTCTCCCCCTCCACATGTTACTGTTTGTATCTATCAACCTTCACTTTCTGCTCTGGGCTGTGTAAAGGTATTAAATAACTTTTTTTTTTTTGGTGCAAAACCTAGTATTAACAGTGTATTTTGGTCACTATTAAAAAAAATAAAATTAAAAAAAAATCAGAAAGGTCACAAAGCACCTGAAGAAGAAAGGAGGAAGCTTTGACAACACTTTGTGCTTTCCCAAGAAGCAGGTGTGTACCAAAGTGAACGATACAAAAACATTTCTGGGAACAGTTAGTACAAGGGGCATGTACAGTGGCGGCTTGCTCTGGAACAGCAATTACAGTGTGCTATTGGATTTTTTGGATATTATCCTCTATTTAGAGACTGATGGATTTAAAACACTTTCAGTTGGGAGAATTTTACTTGTTTGCTTGGCAATTTGAAGAGAATTGTAGATGAAGGCTTCAGCTCTTTGATGGTGTCCCTTGAAACGCAGGCTCCTCGTTTGTCATCTATTCAATTCTTCTTGTCATTAAATCGTCATTTGTGTATAAAGAAAAAGACATCCAGTACAGTTTTGTCAAAGAAAAGCCTTAAATGTGGTTGGATTTTTTTTTGTCTTTTTGTAGCATGAACAGAACTAATTTGACAGCAATTACAGTGCCAGGGCTCTGTGCAGGGCGGTACCGAGCGACTCTCATCCTTCCAAACAGCATCACTTCGCTTTGAGTGGCCAAACAACAATGTCCAGAGCAAAATG